TTTTAGACGCTGCAAACAAGCTTCCAGACTCTGCGTTTGAACGCAGAATTCATGCCAGAACGTGGATTTTGCATTTAACTTGTTCAAATACGAGTTTGACGGTTTCAAAACCGTTTCCCACGATCTAAGGGGATCACAACTTCACTCAGGAGTGATTTAAGGGGCGGTTATATCCCATTAGCCCCACTTAGGAGAGAATTAAAGAGGTGGTTACACCCCTTAATCCCCTATAAATAACTAAGAAACCAGCTTAGTTCGAGGGGGATCTTTCATCCTGCTCTTGGGCAGCAAAGAAGAGATCCTGGACTTGTCTAACCAATTACGATTAAGATCAATCAACTCATCAAGAGTTTCAAACTTACCACGCAAGTCCTCCACAGCGTCAAATCGTGAAGAGAAGACCATGTTCCAGTGAATCAAGACGTGCGAATCGTCAATGGAGAGCAAACTCGACGCGAGCATTCGAGGGAGGCACTCCATCGCCACCGTAAAGAACCCAGAATTAAACAAAGGGGAGAATCAAATTCATTCTCCTCTCTTTTGTAATCAGGAAATCCAATTGTAACTGAGATTAAAGGAATACAAATCAATTTTCCTTCATTTCTTTTACTGCAAATTTTTCCACAAACATCAAAGTTGTATATTGCCGTTACAAAACACATTATACAAACAATATGGTTATGCCTTTTGTGTTATTATTTCGTAGCAACAGGACATTGTTACAATATGTTGCCTTAGTTGCTGATGATAAATTCACTTATTGATAATGTTCTACCGATTACCTTCTAACTAGATAAACTAATGCCTTTCAGTTTTGGATTAGATCTTTATTTAAGTAATATTAGGTTAGAAATATGATTTGTTTCACATACTCCATCAAACCACCTACTATTCTGGTTAGCAATTTTAGTCCTTCTTCTTATCTGTCTTTACTACTACTGATTTCAATAAGCTCAGTTTGATGATGATGGCTTTTCATAGAGCAAAACTTTGTTGTCTTGTGTAGAGAAGCGGATTGATAATTTGATAACTGATATGATTCTTTTGTTGTCTTTTTAGAATTACCACATAGTATCAGTGGTATCTTGGTGCACGCGACGCGCACTTGACTCAAAAATGGGTGATTTGTTAGTGTGTTTTTTTCTTTTTTCGTTTGGGGTTTTCCCAAATGTGTGTGCATTGGTTTGGGTTTTCCAATTGTGAGAACATTTCCATTGGTTTTCCAAGTGTGAGGCTATTTTTGTGTTATTATTTCCAAGTGTGAGGTGTTTTGAGTTTTTGCCAAGTGTGAGGCTATTTTTGTGTTATTATTTCCAAGTGTGAGGTGTTTTGAGTTTTTGCCTCTATCAAGTTTAATGTACTCTTCTTATTATTTCCAAGTGTGAGGTGTTTTGAGTTTTTGCCTCTATCAAGTTTAATGTACTCTTCTTGTGACTCGCTTAAAACAATTAGATTCTAATTATTGCTGAAATTAGGTTGTAAAATATATTTCTTAGTTTTTGAATAAGAGAATTAGCTTTGTAGTAGTTTGAGATTAATTAGTAGATTTGTGAATAAATTCATGTGCAAGATTTGCACCATTCCTTTGGATACTGCAAAACTAAGGCTTCGGCTTCAAAAGAAAGCGGTTTCAGGAGATGTAGCGTCTTTACCAAAATATAGAGGCATGTTAGGCACTGTATCTACAATTGCTAGAGAATAAGACCTGGCAGCACTTTGGAAAGGTATTGTGCTAGGATTACATCGTCAATGTGTATTTGGAGGCCTACAGATTGGACTGTATGAGTCGGTAAGTTTATACTATTTATCAAATGGGAATTTGCTTGATAGTTATATTCCTTATTTGTCGGTTGTTGGCTCTTTTGTTAGGTTAAATCCTTATATGTTGGTGAGAATTTCGTTGGAGATATTCCTCTAAGGCTCTAACCAAAAAAATACTTGCTGGCCTTACAACTGGTAGATCTAGGTCCATTTTATAGTTTAATTCATAATATCTGTGTTAGTGAAACTGCATCTGTTTGACCAGTTTACATTTGAGTTTTTACAATTTCTAAGGTAAGATTTCTTCTTTGGGCTACTCCTGATAATTTTATAACATGTTTGTCTTATAATTTTCAAATAGATGCTATAGCAATAACAGTCGCTAATCCAACCGATTTGGTGAAAGTACGACTTCAAGCTGAAGGCAAGCTTCCAGCGGGTGTACCAGGACGTTATTCAGGAGCTCTGAATGCTTACTCTACTATAGTCAGATAGGTTTTATATTGAATTCCAATTAATTCTACCTTTTCTCAGTCATGTTATTTTACTAAAGTTGTCAAAGATTTCAAAATGTTAGGAAGGAGTGGGTGCTCTGTGGACTAGGATTGGTCCTAATGTTGCACGTAATGTTATAATAAATGCTATAGAATTAGCAAGTTATGACCAAGTGAAACAGGTTTATATTCCAGTTGTCAAAGAAGATTCTCATTGGATACTTTTGTATCCTTTTAATGTTGTCTCTTATTTGCTCCGTAATTTTTTTGATTTGCACAAACCATATTGAAAATTCCCGGCTTCTCTAACAATGTCTTTACCCATCTTTTATTTGGTCTTGGGGTTGGCTTCTTTGCAATCTGTATTGGTTCCCCTGTTGATGTGGTATGCTATCCTTACCTGTCAATTTCTTTTGTATCCTTTATTATTGTTATCCCAAAAGTTGGGGCTAAACATTATTATTGTCAAATTCGTAGATGACGAAGCCCTCAATTTAGGATTGAGGGCCAAAAAGAGGCTTAGATTGAGGGATTTCCCACACTGTTTATTTGACTAAATAAAATGGCAATGCATTTCACTTTAACGTACGTAGCTGGTAGATTTCTATTTACAGTTATTTGAATTTGTGATAAATAAAGAAACTAATACAGGTCTCAGACTTCCAAAACATTTCCATTCGTCTGCTCTCGAAAAAATGAATTTTAATTTAAATAATATTTTTCTAGAAATATAATTTATTTAGATAGATAACTACAACATAACTAATGTGTTTAATAGAGACTTGCACGTGTTGATATGCTAGTATGATTAAAGACAGGTAACAATAATCATAAAGAGAAGAGAATTAAAGACAGGTAACAATCATAAAGAGAGGAGGTTTTAGGTGATTCGGCAATCAATATAATTACATGCGTCTTTGGAGTAGAATCAGGTCATGACCTCATTAGTAATCAGTGAAGAATTATGAACAATCTCTTATATGCACTAATCTTGTCTTTTTTGTTGCCACTATTTGTCATTATAGCATAGCGTTTAATTTCTGTCTGTAGGGTCAAAAACGTGAATAGTCCTAACCATAATCATAAACTAATTAAAATTCTCTCCCTAGAACATTGCTCACCTATCCCCCACAATCATAGTGTATATAATTATATATGTAGTCATCCAATTCATTAGCGATAAGTATTCTCCTTGCAAATCATGCTCCGCAAACAACAAATTAAGAATCTTCATGTTTTAGATATTCAAGTCCGGACGAAAGATTTCCAACCTAAGAGTGTGAATGGACGAGCATTAATAATCCAGTCCAAGTTCGTGTTAAAAGATACATAGAGAGGCTTTTATCAAATGTATTCATTGGTTTTAGAAATAGTTTTGTCAAGAGATATAGGTTCTAGGAAATTTACATATTTCTTATAGTATTGTTGATGACTGGTATCAAATAGTCAACGAAAGAAACTATTAGGTTGATGGAGGTCCTCTAACCCTCCGAATGTCCGGTCCTGAGGTGGGTTGTTCTTCCTTGCACAGATAGAAAATCGTAAGAAGAGTTGGGTTCTCCGATTGTTCCTCCGACGATCAAGTCAGTAATTTGCTTGAGTGGAGAAGTAACCGAACTATGAAAAAGTTTTTAAGCACTGTGGGTAGAGATAAGGATCTTACCTTTATGTTGACAATAGTAACCATATTTATATTGGTAATAGAGTGGTAGGATGGTAACTTTGACCGGGTATGGGGTGGTGGTCAAGTCAGCATTTGCTTTACAGGTATCGGCCGGCAAGTAGAGGGGATGTCACTTCCGCATTTAATGTGAAGTGCCTAGGGGCTTGGGGTACCGACGTGGTCCAATGTGTCATAAAAACTATAGGGGGCAGAGGAATGATGACACCCATCATGTATTTAATGATATTTATTATGAGGTGATTAGGTGTCAAAACGCGGGAGGGGGCTCGAGGTAGTCGTCGCCTTTCTACTCGTCCGGTAGACGGTCGATAAATATCGCCTTTTGAGTCACCTTCGCAAGACGTCGGGTAGGTTGATCAAGAAGTTGACCTAGCCAATGGTTGACATGTAATGCCTTTCAAGTCGCCCTCGCGAGATGTTGGCGTGTCGAGTCGTCCAAGCTAGGTCTTTGGTTATCTTGAAGTGAAGAGCTGGCTCGATTACGCATAATGTGGGACACTTGTCTGTTATTAATTAGAAATTACTTTTTAGCACTAAAACGACTATAACAAGTATTAAGCATAATTTTTTAGAGTTTGAGCTACGTTTCTATTAATAATATTCAACATATGGATATTAGTAACCTAATTTTAAAATTTAGAGCTTGGAATTGAAAATCTGAACTTAACATGATCTAGTATATATGAACTATCTAGAAATAAAAAAATTTAAAAAAAAAATTCAACATCATTAACATATGTATATCATATGTCGTCAAAAGCAATGTATCAAAATTTCCATGAAGTTTCTAAAGTTTCTCCGCTTGATATATGATTAAAACACATAAAAATCCCTTGTTTGTTTCTGAGCACATGTGTAGTAGATCATGTTAATCGGTTTAGATTTTCAGTTACGAACTCCCAGTTTTAAAATTGAGTTGATAGTATTCGCATGTCAGATACTATTAGTAGTAGCCTAGCTTAACTCTGGTTTTTTGTACGCCTCTTCTTTTAAACTTATACATACTTCATATGTTCCTTATTATTAAGATATTTATGGGAAAACAGGGCCTTAGCCCCAACTATTACAAAAGCTAAAACATAATACATAGTGCTTACACTGTAGTATCTTGATCCATTGAACAATCTTCAGAAGTAGGAGCAACAGAATATACTATTACTATGAATAAATATTGCACCAACAAATAATACGACATAAAAATGTTTTATTCATGAAAACTTCCCCAGGGCTTCTTGCAGGATCCCGTCCACTAGAACCCCATATGCCTTCTCTGTAGGATGGAAACTATCCCAAAATACAAGCTTTGAATCGTCAGGACACAAAACTGTTTTTCTATTGCACAACGGCCCAAGTTCGAACTCTCCAGTGCCACAACAGCCATTCTTTGATTCCTCAAACCCTACAAAAATTTTGGTATTAATTGCACGTAACCCCCCTATAACATCGATGTTTTGGACTATTCTGTACTTTTCTTGTTGCAGATAGACCTCCGAGTTATTTTAACCTACAAGGTCTATCTGCAACAATGAAACTACAGGGGTAATCTGCAACAATGAAACTACAGGGGTAGTAAGCTCAAAAGAAACAAAACAATGATGTATAATAGAGATAACAAGAATATTTAGTGAAAATGAAGATATGATTCATATGAATATTGCGCATGAAGCTTAATTTACCGTATTTTGATGGGTATTGAATAAGGTCAAGCAAAGGGTGATATATATCTGCATAAACAATATTCGAGCCTGCGAGCTTTTTCTGAAGAATTTGCGATATTGTAGATAGTTTGAGATTATAATCTTCTGAAACTTGGTTATATAAAGATACACAGTCTCTTTGCTCTCCTCCTGCACGAGTTCTCAGGTTTGGTACACACCCAAGAGGAGGAAGCCCAGCAACGAGAATTTTGCGTGCACCCAAACTGTACAGGTCCTATATGAATAGAGATGGTAAGATAAAAAAAAGCCAAAAAAAATTAATAGCCCAGGGGTCTATATGCAACAATGAAACTATAGGGGTAGCAAGTGCAAAACAACAATGATCTCTGTGCAACCAAACCTAAAAAGATTAACTTACCTGAATAAAGCTTGAAGCTGAATCAACTAGGAAACTGGTGTATGAAGGAATATCATATTCAGCACTTCTCAAGGTTCCGCCAAAATAGTTGTTTGCATAGTCATTGCTCCCTGAACAAACAAAGTACAGGCTCTCTCTGATGATCATTTCTGCTCTCTCCGGCTCTGTCACTGCCTCTAGCTTCTGCTTGTAGTCCTTGAACAGCTCTAATTGGTGTTGGATCGATATCACCGACTGTAATCACAACGAGGTACACAAATTTCTAAGGGGAGGGTAAATGAAGCAAGGTCAAGTATTAACCAGGGAAATGTCGTAAATTGTGTACCAGTAATTCAGAGGTGAGACGATCATAGCCCGACGAACCAGAAGCGAAAGAGACGCCCGTGAGAATGTCTTCATTGCTTAAATTTGGGTTGAGAAAAGCTGGTAATAATTCCTTTATGCCTAGCTTTGAAGCTGAAGTTCAAACACCCAAAAAAAAAATCATCAAAAACTTTAGGGTATATAAGTGCTGCCAAAAAAAGTGAGGGTATATAAGTGCCGGAAACTATATATAGGGTATTTAAGTGCAATTAAGCCCGCAGAAAAAGAAAAATTAACCCTGCGGAAGTTACGACTGTGACTGTGGAAATTAGTCACTGATAAACTATCTACTCGTCAAAAGTACGGATTATTGGCTGGGGTAGTACTCAGAGGTGCGAACGGATGTCGATATCTGCAAGTATGTCGTATCGAGTTGGACATGAATGTGGGTACAAAACATTTAGTCGGATGTGCCTATATATGCATGGACAAGGACATAGATAAGAAAATCGGATACAGATACGAACATCCTGATATATGTGTTGGCCAGACAACTGATATCATTTTAGCCTTATAATTATGGTTTTAGGCGACAGTAGTGAATACTAATTTCAGAATTCTTCTTGTTGAGACAGTTTCAGTGTCATGCGAGCTATATACTTTCGCGTGTTACTCATTACCGTCATATTGGTAAGCGTCGAATTGTTTTTTTTTTTTTTTGTTTCCTCTCATCCAATTCACATCTATATCTCATTTTGATAGATATCGACATGGATTTTCTAATTTAGGCACAAAACTTAAACGCAGGTAAGAGCTCGCCGTTTAAAATATGAAACCCCGTTCGAGAACATAACGTAGAAACCAAGTTGTAACTCAACATCACGTCAAAGATAATCACGGTCAGTCAATCTTTTTTTTTACCTACGAAGTCCGAAGGGACCTTTCCGTTGCTGAACCTGCCGGTTGGCTCATGACCGATAAGATCCTTGCCGTAAGGCGGAAAATTGCACTTGGCGATGGTAGGCAGCAAATTATTATTGCCCGTGTCCAAAATGGAGTCGCCGAAAGCGAACAGCGCAGGGTACTTGCTGCTCGTTCCGTTCCCGCCCGCACAAACCGAGACGAAACAAACACAACCGAGAACGGAAACAAGCGACGCCCGCATCGGCGAGAAATGCATGCCGAAACTAAGGAACAAATTATTCGCTGCAAACAATAAGTTGTCGTTGAGTTTCTTATATAGGGAACGCGAAGGGATTCTACGTGCCTTTACTCATCAAATTCCAGCATATGGAGCGTTAAGAGCTAAAAAAATTTGGTGGACGGATGCATAATTTTATCGTCAAGGGTACGTCTGTGGGCGGTGAAGGGACAGAGGGAGACTCGGCCTCGTCATCGGCCGGGCCCACTGAGACGCTGATGCATTTTTGCAATCAGCTTGCGTGCATTAAGCGTGCGGTTGGCGAACGCTTCGTTTTCGGAGACATTACGTCAAACAGTTGCGGGCGTTGTCGACGGTGATCACTAAACACCGACGCTGAAAGGGGCGCGCATTTGTGGGCTTTAATATCTGGAAGAAAAAAAAAATTATTCTGGAAACCACATTTGAAACGTGATCATTGTAAGTAAAACATCTTCGATTGTCAATTTATATATAAATTATCTTGATCGTTTATTTTTGGTTACGATCAACCTCATAGATTCACTTTTAAGCCATGTTTTTTTTTCAAGTTTTGTTGTAATAATTAGTTGTCAAATGCTAAGAATACTAGAGATGTGATCCTAAATATTCATTAAATATTCTAGATTACTCTCCCAACTATAAAAATTTGAGATAACTTCTGAACTTTTCTCACTTAACCTCCGTTAAATATGAGGTGTGCTCAAGAAAACTCCTCTCAACTGTTTTAATTTGAGAAACAACCTTCAGGCCCGAGCATATTGTAGATAAGCCCTCTCAAATTTAAAAATTCGGGAACCACGAACTCTTCTCACTTTTCGCCTTGAAAGCTGACACTGTTAGGTCTAATATGACACTTGATAAGTAGGTGACTGAAAAATGACGAAAATATATTCCAATCATAGAAAATTACTCTGATTTTTGTAAGATATGTGAAAGATTGTAGAAAGAGAGGAAAAAACATTGTAAATTAATCAAAAAAAAATCATTGGTTGTTGGTTTTTTTACCTAAATGGGTTGATTTTCAAAGAGATATTTCAGTCATTTTATATTTTTAAATAGAGTGAAGTTATCTACAATATATCCAAACGAAAGGGGATTTTCTCAAACTAAAATAGTTGCGAGGGGGGTTCTGAGACATTCACTTTGTAAGACTCTCCGTGTGAGAACGAACAAGCACGATTCTATATACAACAAACTACAATCAATGCTCTGCATTTTGCTAGATTTAAACTAGTGCTCTGAGCAGTCGAGTATATTAGCATTGAAAGAGATCACATAAGGACTTCATTTACCACTAGCATGACAATTTCCACAAGCTAGTTGATAAAGCAAACAAACCCTTGAGATCATGGCGCAAGTATGCCCCTCAATTACTAATGAATGCCACATTTCTTTAGATAAATATACTATATGCTCAACACACAAAAGAAAATTGAAAAAATGGCATCTAAGCGAAAAATTTATATAAGGCTCCAAATTGAGGTTATCCTTCAATAAAAAAAAATTGAGGCAAATTGGATGTCCATCCAAACACAACGTCCACCCAAACTATATGGAACATCAGATAAATACATAAAATTTCTTTTGAAAGATTCGACTAGGGCACCAGAATCTCCAGTCATACAAAATTTTGTTTATCAAAATTTGTTGTGCCCCTAACTCTTGAACCAGACTAACCCAACAAGACCTTTATAATGTCGATTTTGATCTGGTAAACATAGTAAATTGTCTGCTCCCATTCCATCCCTTTTCAGGATCTCCGTTCACACCTGATCTTTCGTGTTCTGATCGTTCAGTTTTCCAAAATCTGATCCAGTATAACGCGTCGTAATTGTATCAACCCCTTATGTTGAGGTTTGTTAAGCGTGTTGCCACACCATCAGTTAGCAAGTAATTCCCCCAAACATTTCGCCTCCTTATCTTCTCACCCTGCAATAGAGCACATACAACAACCAGTTACAATGAAGTACATATCATTTTGGATAATGTAATAGTTGATAAATTTTTGTGACCGCTAAACAATCACCAACAAGTAATATACTTCAACTAGTAATTCTCAACAACTAACGACGCTTACCTGCACTTCAACTACGGTTGACAAACGCATAGTCTCCAGTATAAACTGTTGTATGTTGTTAGTTAATTGCATCAGTTGGTTAGTTAATAGCGCCACCTGGGAAACATCACCAACAAGTAATATACTTCAAAAGTAAACAAAATTTATTTGGAAGGACACTAGTGGGAAAGCTGAAACTGAAACAAAATTGAAGAAACTAAACAAAATTGAAGCAAAGGCGGATGTTTCGTACAAAAACACAAATCAAATACTTGAAAACTATGCAGCAAGCTTATTAAACCAGTCAAGATACTATAAAGAGAGCTAAAGGAACATTAAGATATCCCTCCATATATAAAAAACTGTTATACCCTGGTGAATCCTACCGAATGATAGATTAAAGTAGGGAGAATTTGTCACTTATACTCCATAAGATTCTTGACTTAACTGTCAGATTCCTGTGCCATTGGAACTTTGTCTTTCCTTTCCTGAAGGAACTCTTGTGCCATCCTTGCGGTTGCAACATAGTTCTAAGATTATTAATAACAAGCAATCCTAAGATGTTGGTATTTATTCAGGGAACACTTCTCGATGGGGACAGAGCCGTTACAGTTATAATGCTATAAAGAACCAAGCATAACAAGACATTGTTCCTGTGCTGGATGAACATAAGCACAATGACGTGGGTTATTAAATACCTAAGAGGGGCATCAGTTGACAATTACTTCAGCAGGCACAAAGATGATGTGGTCCTTGGTCAAAGTTGTAACCCAATACAAATCATATCATCACATCATAAAAATTGAAAGCATGTTAACATCGTCAATTATTAAACTTTGAGGAAGAGAATGATGCAGAAACCTTCAGCAACCTGACATTATAACTGGTTGAATTCTTATAAGACTCATATTATGCACATAATCGGAATCCATTGAAGATATAACTTATAAATTGCTTTGATGAATGCTAGATATCTTCTAGGTTAGAATGTGTTGATTTTATGTCGATGATATGTCAATGAATAGTCACGAAAATTGGCAGTTGTCGACATGTTCAAACATAATAATAAGCCTGCAGCTTTCATTGCCTCAAAAACATTAGATAAAAGACAGAGCTTACTAGTTAGCTATGTTGCATGGGTACCGGAACGGGTGCCGGTACGGGCATGGGTACGGGACACGGCAAATTTGTAAAAGGTAGCGTACGGCGACACAGCTATATAAATATTTACACATACATATTATATATTGGAACTAATAGTTTACATTAGATCAATATTGTTTTCATTCACATGTTATGAGAATTAAAATCCTTATAATATTTCTAAAAAAATTTAGTGCTTCTTTTATTATGTGGATTATAAATTGGAAAATCGCTACTTTTTGAACAAGACGTCCAAACGACCCCTTAAAATCATAGATCGGAATCTAACCCACATCCAATGAGTTTCAAGAAGTGGATATGTAAGTGTAGGATATATGTTCAAAAAATGTATGACAAGTGTTTTAAATTAAAACATGTATTGCATAATAGAGCAGATGCCCGAATGAATGTATGCATATATGCAAGAAGTGTCCAAGGAGTTTGGGTACGGGTATAGGTATGTGTTGGGTACAGTACGGCGCTCAAATAGAAGTACCCATGTAACATAGCTAGTTAGCAACAATTAAAATATACATATTTTGATGTTGCTAATAATTACAGCCAAAAGTGTTCCATCACAAAAGGGAATCACCAGAAAGAAAGGATTGATGTCATGAGAATTATAAAACTTACGTTAAATAGAAATTGTTTCATATTATTAATGGCACGAATAGATAATTTTCATATATAGTTGGACAGATTTCAAAAAGAAGCATCTCAAATTGCACCTTGCAGAATGGTAAAATTTACAACGACATAGACGATAATATGTTCTTTAAAAAAGAAACAAGACTATGTCCTACTATGAATTAGGCGAGGGATAAATTGGTTATAAATGAGATGAAGGTATTAGAATTGATTTATAAAAGCTGATTTTTTGAAGGAAAAAATGGAAAACAAAAAAGAAAGAAAGAGAAAAGTGAAAGTAGCAAAAATTACTAAATTATTCTTGCAATATCTTCTTTTGCTCAGTGTGACTATCCCCTAAACAATACAGGATATAATACTTCATAGCTAAGAACATGAGTTCATGAACCAAGAAAAAAATTAAAAAAGAGAACAGTTTTTTTAGTAAAGAATCTTTATTTGTACAACTAAGGCCAAAGAATACACTTTCTATGCTTATCGTCTTCAATGACAAGCGACTCATCTATCATCTTAAAAAAAATCATATAGAACATAATTGAACATTTTAGAAAGTATAAGATATGTTATCTTATCATAAAGAAATAGAGTAAAAAGTTTGAGCCCTTCCATGATGATTTGGTGACAACAAAAGAACTGTTACCAACAATGTACATGCACAAAAGGTAATATACAGTTCATTTAAGAAGTCCTAAGATTATAAGTTTAAACAGTTCAAAAGCAAAATATAAAGCTCATTTAAATAAACAAACATCAACCGCTTCAAATCATAACTTGTCCAGCTCAATTTATAGTCTTAGTTGAATATCGTAATTATTGATGATTTGATGACAAACAAAAGGATAACCAGAAATGCATATGGAAACAGGTGATATACAAATCATTTAAGTAGTAATAAGATTAAAAATTTAAATACTTGGTGATTTAAATAAGTGAACAAAAAACAACAACCTAAATCACAACCTGTCGAGCTCAATGAATAACCTTAGTTGAATATAGTTATTATCGATCATTTGATGACAACAAAAGAATTGGAATATATCCAAAAGGTAATAATATTTAGGATGAATGAAAAGTTGTTCAAACAAATGCCTGGAAATTGGGTGGTCATCAGTAGTTACAATTTAAGAAAACAAATTAAATCACTTGAAGGCAGTTATTGATAAGTCATTCTGCCTTGTAACTTGTATAGCGAGGCATAACAAAGGCCAAGCTTGGGTTATAAACATGAGCTTGCAGGCCAGGATCAGGCTAGGAAATTAGGCTCATAATATGCATTCCATAAAGCCAGTCTGATTAGAATATCATACAATAAATTTAAAAATTACAACTACATAGTGTTCTTAAAACACACAAAATTTAATAAACTAATAATCATCTGTAGTTTCATGCGTTGTAGTTAGACATATGATATAAGAAATTGCAATGCTTCACTCCAGATACCAGTAAACACATTCATAGTGTTCATGTGCTTGCAGTGAGAATAATTACTCAGTAAAATATATTAAGTTTTATAGTTTAGTTAAGGACAAGACTGGCACATGCCTTCTTGTTCTTGTACATGTTGATTCTAAGCATAAGACTGGCATCCTATCGAAAGCCATGTTATGCAAGGGAAAGGTGGTAAAAGTGTGTAGAGAGGAATATTTTTTTGACTCGCCTGATATATTTGACGGTAGACAAACCTAGTTGAGGCTCCATCCATCTCAAGTTGATCAATATTGTTAACAATGCTTAAAAAACAAGTCTTGCTACACACAGACTGGGCACAATATGGACAAGATAAAAGGCTACTTGTTTAGTTTAACAGTTCCAATATCCAAGATCTAACAATAATTGGTATATAAGAGCTTTAAATGTTCTGATCATGATCAAATAGTTTGACCATGGCTTTTTACACTGAAAGCTATAGAGCTAAGTAACACATCATATTTGGTTGTACATCGTGCATAGCTGTGAATCTATGATCATGGGAAAAAAGCTTAAAGATGATTTCTAAAATTCCTACAAGCTCAACCAAATAATCTAGAAAGTTTACAATCTCAAAATGTATCCAACTATTTAGTTCCGATGTGAAAACAAGAACAAGAATGAATGCACGATACATAACAATATACGTACATACTTCTACTACAATATGTATATGAGTCTCAAAATGTATCCAACTATTTAGTGCCCTTGTGAAAGCAAGAAAGAGAATGAAGGCATGATACATAACAAGGTACGTGGTATTACTACAACATGTATATGGGTCTATGCCATCCACAAGAAAAAAGAAATAACATACAAAACCATAACCTCGTCAAGGAATGCATGCGGAAGCGACTACATCCAGAACAAATTAAAGGAACCAAAACCCTTACTCTATTGAAGCGAGCAATCACAGATATAGGAACCCAACCCTGATCATCCATATGCCGCCTCAAGAATTCATCTTTAGATAAGTTCTGATCACTGCAGAAACAAAAAAACAACGTGCTTTCAAACTATAAAATCTAAAACCACTTCGTCAAACAATTATCAAACTCTGCTTGCATGATCCAATGACCTAAAGTAGTATTCAATCTGGTGCAACAGTTGAGCACGCAGAGAATCCAATGCCGGAAAAAACATGGCATTTGGAACTTGATACGGCACAAAAGGTACGGACGGCGGTTGAGGCATAATGTAGATAGGATGAGGCACATCTGTTAAAATAGACAATGCATACAATCAAACCACCACAGTATATGAAGAAAACATTAAGAACATTAAAATTCTTCATACCGTGGAAGCCCATGGGATTTCCAGGGAACGGCCGGAGTGGAGGCCTCATGATGGACGGCGACATTGGCGGCGGCGGTGGGGCCCTCGGGAATGACCGAAACCCTCCTCGTGGCTGAGGATGATGGCTTCTCTGGTGATTCCACTGCTGCTGTCACGCCGATGGTTGGGGCCCCCCACGGTGGCAGGACCTCTTCTGTTGCCGCCACCGGAACCACGACGGTCGTCACCACCGAAATGGGGCCCACCGTTCCGAGGGGCTCTAGGAGAAGGTTCAGCCACCGGAATCTCCATGGACGCCGGGCCAATGCCGACCCACTTGGTGTACCACTACCGCTTCCATTTCCACTGCCGCTTCCTCCGGCGATCCGTCGGGAAGGGGACACTGGATTCTGAACCGGTGTAAGGCTCAAAGATCCAGTCTCAGATTTTACATGGCACGATGATGCCACTGGCACCTGCGAAATGAAGATACAACAAAAGCCCTAATTTTGGATAAAAAAAACTCCAGCTTTGGATGAGAAAAGATCCTGACTTTGGATAAATATCTCCTCTAATCTCAACTAAAACCCAATCAATCAAAACCTCAATGAGCAAAAGATCGGATTTTTTATGAGATCTCACCGCGGGGGCGGAGGCCGATCCATCCGAGAGCGACTTCAACGATTCCGACGACGACGACGAATTGGCCGAGGCCTTCGCGGAATCTGAGAGCGCAGGCCAAGAGGCGGCGTCCATGACGGGGCTC